GGGTAAGAGATTTTTAAATCCCTTCATGACAGGAGGTGAGGACCACAGTTCTCAGACATGTGGCTCAGAAGCAGGCACTCCGTTTCATCTAAGATTTCTAAAGCAGCACTTACCCGCGCGCTCATGGTCTGTTTCGAGAGCCGTTCCAGTGACGTTGGGCTGTCCGCTTTGCGAGAAGGACGGAGCGCTACACTTGTGACGTGTGCAGCTGGCGGCCATGCTTTGGCAGTAAGTTTTATATACACCTCGGAGTGGGGAAAACAACACCTGTGTCTGCCAAGCATATTAATAAATGCTATGATTCCCTCACAGCCAAAAATGTTGCTAGAGAGAAGTGGCCACTGGGCTGGGCCTTCTGGGAAGACACTTTGTTAGGAAGCCAGCAGCTGGGTCTTCTGAATGCTAACCAGGGACCCCAGGAATAGGATGGTCTGACCCACACTGATCTGAGCAGGAAAACCTTAGTGTGACAGCGGGAGTCAAGGTCTTGGGAAATTTGGGAAAACTGAAAGGGATTCAGACGTTGGCCTGGGGCAAGGCAGGGGGATTGGAAGACTGAATCCTAAGTATCCTGACTCCTCTCAGACCTCCCCTAGAGGCTTTGCTGATACTCGAAATCCCACCATTCAAGTTTTGGGGTTTGGGCTGAAACCAAGAGAATGGCATGATTTTATTTATTATTGGTGGGATTTCGTGATTAGCAAATAAGTACCATGTTTTCTCTCTTTCTTTCTCACACATCTTTGTATCTACCTGACGGTGTCGGTCAATGGCCATGAGAAATCTCTGTTCTCACAGTCAAATTCTCTTCTCGGTCCAGGCTCCAGGAGTGTGTTAAAAGTGCCAGGATTCGAATGTCCCATGTGGAAACGGGAGCTCCTCCTCAGGGCTGACAATCTCTCCGGTGGGGCTCGCCACACCAGGCAGGGTCTGCAGAAGAGAGCCCTGTGTGACCATGAGGTGACGGACAGGGAGCGGTGAGTCTGAGATATTAAAGGGCTGCCAGCTCCAGCACTTCACCCCGGGCGGCCATGCTGGTCACTATTCCGCCCGCCCCTGCCTCCTGCGGTCCCCTCTCTCCGACGGCCAGGAGAATGACCACCACAAGCAGGAGTTTCAAGAGTGAAAGAGAAGAAACAATATAACATAGCTTGGACCCACTTCCCAGTGGCCTGATTTTCAAATAATGTGTCCAGTGTCTGAGCAGGAGCTGATTTGGACTAAAGACATTTTCTAGATAAAATCTATCAGCTTGCTTGGTGTCTGTTACTGGGTCTCTCTGTTCTCAGGGTCTGGCTCGCTGTCAACAGCTCAAGGGTGTCCTTCTAAGGAGATGTCTGGTGAAACCTGCCAGGGTGTATCCGTGTCCCAGGAGCCATTGTCCCCGGGGGAGACAAATTCTCAGGTGACCTGGCTGTTGGAGGCAAACAAGCTGTGTACGGAAATGCTCCAGAGCTGCAATCTGGGGGCTCCCGTTTCTTCAAACAGAGACCAGGGGCCCTGACCTTCTTGGCTTTAGTTGAAAAGGAGTTGGCCCACCCCATAGCCATAAATGAGGGCAATGATGGTTCAGTTGGAGGATGCTTGCCTGCCTTTCATGCCAGAGTCCTGAGTTCAATTCCCAGCCAATAATGCTCCTCATGTGCAGCCACCACTGCTGTTGGTGGACATTGGTGTGTTTTTGCTCCAAGGCTGGCATTGCTGTATTGCATTCTATGGTGGCCCATTCCACCACAGCTAACAGCAACTTCCCAAAGCTCGGGCTGGTCTGAGCCTGCCATTTTGTGGTGTCTCCCAAGCTGGTTTGGGGAGAGATGCTCTCAAATGTCCATCAAATTTTCATGTTCTGAATGGATCTGAATCCTAAAAGGTGTGAGCAGGAAATACTTTTAACAAATTAGGCTTGTCTTGGCTTGGTCCACAATTTGGTCCCATCATGCTACTTCAGGAGAAGGATCTGCCGAGCCAACCACGAGTCCTGGGTGGGATTCCAGGCAGCTCAACCATTGAAGTGACCGATTCCAGGCAGCCGAAGGGGAACCATGTTTAGCCAAGGGCATTTGCGGTAGTTACAGAATCTGGTGTCAATTTGAGGATTAAGAGTGCAATGGTGGAGGCTAGCCTGTCTATCTTGATATAGCCAATGAGGCCTCTGTGTGGGCATGGCCTTCTCCTGGGAGAATCTCCTGATGATTCTGGGAACTCTGGTATTTCCTCCTTGGAGGCAGGATGCTGGCTCTCTCTCTCTCTCTCTCTCTCTCTCTGCTCACTCCCTTTGAGACTCTCTACTGACAAGACTCAAAACTCACTCCCTGAGAGACGCTCTACTGACATGACACATGGTACTATGCTGATA